GCCTGATGGTGGAATTGAACTCAGGACCTTCTTGCTGTGCAGCAACAGTGCTAACCACCGTGCTGGCATCTCTCAGAGTGGTTCTTTTTTAAAATATTATTGGTATTAAGGACAAAATAAAATAAGATAAAATACTTTAATTTCCACCTTTTAAGCCTATTAAACAAACTCTTTTTATTAATAAATAATTATGTTTCTTTTCAAAGTTGCAAACTTAAAGGAATTATTTATTTTGGATTGAAGAATTCAAATGATATGAAATATTTTGAAAATTAGGATTTCTTTTCTAATGATAAATTAGAAAGATTTTTTAATATAAAAAATTACTGCAAAAAAAAAAATCATTGTTTCACATTTTTACAATAAGAATAATAAGTAAATGACACAATTAATACATCAACAGACTGTATAGACTGTATAGTTAGTGTGGATGCTAGCTAGAAAAATAATGTATTAAAATGTACAAATTCCAGGGACAACTTTTGAGTCTGTTCATTCTGTTTTATTTGTTCTTTGTGCTTTGTTTTAGTTTTTTTTCTTTTTTTTTTTATTAAACCCCAAAATTAATTTCTTCTTTTTTTATTTTTTCGTTTTGTTTTTTTTTTTTTCCAAGCAACCCACCCAACACTGGTTAGTAGGTAGTGAACAGGGCAAAGTGACTCACCTGGACACCATTGAGTGATGCCACACCCATGTAGAGGAACACACCATAGAGCACTGGCATGGGAATGAACTGAAGAACACAGAACACAGTAAAAAAGATATTAATGTTACACGTGTGACTGTGACTTAAAAAAAAAAAAGAGGAAACAGAAACACGCGTATCAAAGCTACCCTCTCAGAAGAAACATGACTTCTTTTGGCTCACACTGCTTAGTAAAAAAATAGACCACAAGAAGCTTTTCTAAGTATGTTCTTTTTACTGAGATACCAGTGTGACCGGGCTTTTAGCTTGCACAGGACTGAGAAGTACCTGCTCCTAGATCAGCGTAAAAAAAAAAAAAATTAAGTAATATAAAAAATATAAAATATATGAAAAGAAATAGCTAAAATGAGGCAACTTAGAGCAAAAATTTTAAAATACATGAAAATGTTTTATTTTATGCCACTATAATATGGTTCATGCAAAAACAAAATGCTATTTCTGAGAATCAGAAACACAGTATAGAAAATGCCCTCAAGGGGGCGTACCAGCTCAAAAAAAATCACCTCTCAGAGTCTTCACAACTCATGGGCAGCTCAACAAAGAAATGGAAATTTGAGAAGCCGAGGTGCTGCAACTGGAGCTTAAGCCCTGATGCACATTCTTATTTCACAACATATTACTTCAGCTATAGAAGCTCCTAATCGGATGAATAAAAGACTTGAAATTATTTTACATTTAAGAGGGAAGACAGGAGTTTGTCCTAAAACGGGCGGACAGTAATCCATAATTCCACAGAAGAATTAAGAAGTTGGAGCACTACCTTGAGGATAGGAGCCATGAAGACAGAGAGTCCCGTCAGGATGAACACGAAGATACCAGTGACTCGCTGTTCCCTGAGTTAGAGGGGGAAACATCACACAAATTAATCAGCAGATTTGATTCAGAGAAGTTAAAACTTTTGTTGGTTTTTTTTAGTATGTTTATTATTCCCCAAGGCAAAATTCACAAAAGACAGCATGGCATCTACATCATACACACACCTTTTTGATCATCCGTGTGCTGGAATTTCATGTCTAATGGTTGCATATGCAAAAGTTACAGTTCGTAAAAACAATGAGCATGATGAATCTAAACGGCTCACGCTCCAATCAGTTAACCACATGGAGGAAATCCCTGTCATCAACTATACAAATCCACGATGATACACAGTCTTTGCAGACTTGGTAACAAAAAATAAACTTTTTCCTGACCTCCACCTCGCTGACAAGTTTGTTTTGTTTTCATTTTTCCATTTTTTCAATGACGTCTGTATGGAGTATTTATATCTGTGTGTACACAGAGAGAGCTCTGTGTAGATTTACCCTTTTCTGTCATTTTCCAAGACTGTTTTCTCTCTTTCTATGTTCTTTTGTTCCTTCCTGACTGTCTAATTCATGATTAATTGAATCTTTCCATTTCCTCCCCTCCTCCTGTTGTTGCTGGAGAGTAATTGCCTTTTTGGATAAAATGATTTTTCCTTTTCTAAAGAAAGGACTGTGCATGCAGCAGGTATTTGTCGCAGTGTGTGCGTATGTGTTACTGCACACAGCATTATGCAAACCACCTGAGTGATTTCTTTTTTCTTCTTCTTTTTTTTTTTTTTTTAATCGCTTCAATCTAAAATGAATGCAATTAACTAGCTAGTACAATCGAATACTGACAGTGCTCTGGGAAAACTGAGACACCTTTGTTCGAGACCACCATGCCAGAATGAATTTAATTGTTAAGTGACGTCAACACAGCGTCCAGCAGCTGCTTTAACTCACCTGACACCCAGGAATTTAGGCTGCTCTCCGGGAGCAGAAGTCTCAGTCTCCATTTTCAGAGAGTCGATGTGGGCGATGGAAATGACAGTGGCAGCCACATACCATGGCAGGCCCATGAAAGAGCAGATCACTATCAGGATGGCCACCCAGAACAGGTCCAAGTGATAACCTGCCCCTTTCTAACAGGATACAAAAAAATTATATAACAAGTGGTTCCCACACTCCAGATACTAAACAAATCATGTGCTGCTGCAATAGTGTGATCAGAGCACACTGAGCGTCATATTAATAATATATCAGGAAGTCTGAGAATATATGTATACAATTAGACAAATATAATGCAGTGCAAATGACTACAATTGACTGTTTAATCCAGAAACAGATAAGGAATAAAAGGTATTTCATTGCATGTCATTCCTGGTACTGCAGGTAAGATCCATTTCTAGACTCTTTTATCACTGCTGCTCTGTGGCTTTTTGTTCAGTCCAGTCTTAGTTTACTGTTGAATTCAATTCAATTCAATTCAATTTTATTTGTATAGCGCCAAATCACAACAAATGTCGCCTCAAGGCGACATTTGTTGGAGTCTTCTTATTGTTGTTTATACTTTGATTTTGGCTTCCTATGTCAATTTTTAACTAGTCTTTTATGTACCATACATTGGATTTTCATGGTCAACATTTTTGTCTTATATCCCTTCATCTTCCTGACTTTGTGTATTCTTCTGATCTTTAGAAACTTGTACTGAAAAGAAATTCACTGACAAGTTCTTGTTGTCATTTCATGAAACTTGGCTTTACCTATTGATGCTTTGGCTGTCCTGCACTTTGGTTTTAAATGTGCTACAGAAATAAAAAATTTACATACTTATTATTATTTATTATTATTATTATTATTTATTACTTAGTTTGGATTCTTTTCTGTTCTTTTTATAACTGAGCATATTCAATCGTTTCATTCTTCTTAAGCCTTCAGATGGTGCACCAACCTTAAGTTTGTGCTCTTTCCTGTTGACAATTACAGCGGTGATCTGTTGGTCCATGAATAACAGAATGGTGACAAGCAGAGCAGGAAGTGCAGATGCTAGGTACACCCACCAAGGGTTTCCTCCAAAAGGAGGAACAAACCAGCCCCTCAGTGGACTTGTGGGCTATGGGAAAATAAAGAAAAAAAAAGACTGTTAAAAACACTGGAGACAGACTATCCAAGCCCAGATATCATCTCAAAAAGATTACAGATCTGAAATTACCGGTGCATTGTTACATGACAGAAAAACAGTGAATTAAGACTCTGTGATCAAACAAAGGTAGCTCTGTTCTTGCAATTTAAAGTTGCAACTCGAAGAGCTAGTTTATGTTCTCACATCCCCTATAATCAAGCTCTGTGTCCTCCTGGGTGTGCTACAAAGAAAAGCATTATGCTTGGATTTGGAAGAATTACACAGGCTTTCTTGCCGAAACATCATTCATTATAGGTGTAATTGGAGGAAAGAGCACCACCGAAAGACAATTCAGTCAATGATTTCAAAACGTCACGATGAAATGAGGACTTTCTAGTACACTGGCAAACTTCCGGGAGATGCGTACCTTGAATTCACTTGGCACTAAGAGCTTTGGAGTCTCCACACCAACTAAAGCATCCACGCCGCAGAAGAGAAGGATGGCCAAGATGATCGCAAAGTCACTGATGAGTTTCCTCACCTAGAAAGGAGGACACGTTTAAGGAGGGTTTGACAGTGTCTTTGAGTTTGAAGAAAAGTGTGCTGACCCTTTTCTTTGTGTGCTGAAAAAAAAAATGCAGGCAAGCAAATATAGCTTGACAGACAATTGCACACTCCCACGTCCAATTAACTTAACAAACACGGCTTTAGACTTTAGGGAATAAACCGGAGCACCTGGAGAAACCCACACAGGCACAGGGAGAATGTGCAAGCTCCACAAAGAAAGACTTCCATGCAAACCAAGATGCAAAAAAAAAAAAAAAAAAGACTTCTTCACCCTCAAGAAACACGAATCAATAATTTTAAGTAAAATGCAACTGAAACATATAAAAATGTGGTCACATATTAAGTAATCGGGAAATCTGGGAAAATATGCACCACAACGCTGGCTAAAACTCATCTAGATGTGGAAAAACGATGTGACTGTCACTCACTCGGGTGGGGAAGAAGCGGCTCGTCTTGAACTTCTTCAGAGACATGGAGCAGGTGTAGGTCCCAAGGAACAAAATGAAAGACATCAGGGTGATGTCAGGTATGTAGCCACAGCTTTCTCCAACTAACTGTCCTCCATACTTCATACACTGCTTCTTGGTCAGAGATGCCAAGGTAGCATTTACCGGCTGGAGTGAAAAAGGCAGAAACAGAAAAGAACAAAACAGTTATCAGTTTCAACCCCCCCAAAAAAATGCCTGAAGAAAAAACAAAACAAAACAAAACAAACATACAAACAAAAAAAAAATCACAGCCTTTGAAACAGTGAATTCTGACTCATTGTTACTGAGGGCACTACATACCAGATCAGTACTGTTTGTCAGGGCAGATAGATCAAAGAGTTCTGACGAGTTGCCTAGTGAAGAAACAACATAATATCTTATCACTAAAACAAGAAAAACAAGAAAACGTCATCTAATAAATGCATTTGCCATTTTAAATCCGTGTCAAAGAATATTGGCAAGTCACGCGACACAAAAACAGTGTCTCAGCAGTGCTGAGAAAGCGATATCTACAGGGTCACACATTCTGCTATCATTTGTCATTTTCACTGTAAATACAAAAAATAAATAAATAAACTTAAATCTAAATTAAAAGACAAATTAATCCAACACACAAACCATATATGACTATTCAACTTTCAGCATCACATGGTATCATCATTCCTGAAACTCTAAGGCAAGGGTAGAGCCTGTACACTGGGGGAGCAAAATTGGCACAGTAAAGACTCAAGTGCAGGAGGGGAATAAGTTTTTTTACTTTTAACTCTAAAGACCTCACCCCGACATTCATTCATTCGTATTACATCAAAGTGATAGGTAAGCAAATAAATAACAGAAACCTTTGTTTTTTTTACTACTATATTTAAAAATCCTTTTGGATAAAAGTGGGCTGTATGTGGCCCACGATGTGCAGTGAGTAACCCCTGCTTTAAAAGAAGCCCAAAATTCAGGCAAAAGATGGTTTAGAACAGAGTGGAGGTATCCCACTGCTAATGTTAAAGGTAAAACTCTTCCTATTACTCTGGTATCTTCTCTCTATCTGCAGCAGCAGCAATAATAAAGACTACGCACCAGGCATGCAGCGGCAGTCGTACTGAGTGACAAGGTTGGGATCATAATCCGTGTTGATCGGGTGGTAGTGGGCCAGCTTTATCATCTTCTTGAAAGCATCGTAGATGAAAATGAAGCTGATGAGCGCCGAAAAGCCTTCCTCTGTGAAGCGTGTGAAATACTGCACCAGGAAGCTGGCATCTGTGGCGACCAGCACCAGACAGAACATGCCCGACCACAGTCCGATCCACAGCCGGAATTCAAGGTAGTCGAAGTCGTTGTCTCTGAGGGAGAGGGTACATTTCACACAGAGTGAGCAAGGGAACTCTTAGGTCTCAATATTTTATTTTACAATCCACCCAAGAATTCACGGCACTTTCAGAAAATACAAGGCGCTCAGAGGTATATGAATATTGCTCTGGGGTCCTCCAAGGGAAAAACGGCAGCAGGTTTTTCTCTTTATTGCAGCTGTAGGATAACATGCATCCACAACAGCTGTAGTGAGCAGCTGCCACTGACTCGGCAACAGTTGACTCGAAGCACGATAACACTGAGAGGGCACAGGCGCCACAACACTTTTCAGTCACGGCGTAAAATTAAATGAGAGTGAATTATTCATAATGGAACATATGCAGCGTGGTGTTTTTGGTAACGCTAGAAGACTCCTTTGGGGGTAAGAGAGGCAGTGTAGTTGGAAGGAAGTGAGAGTAGGCAGTATTTAATACCCTTGAACTGAGGTGAAATGACATTTTATCCCCACAATAATGTATACCTAAAATTTAGGCACTGCTATCACACCATCATGGCGTGTCCTTGCTGCTCTCGTCTTCCACATAGTCATGACAGGAAGCAGAAGGCAAAACAGGCGAAAGCTCATAAACACAACCAGCTGACAATCATTTATTACCAGTAAGTGCAAAGAATAAATAAATAAATAAATAAAAAGTTCCAGTGAAGCAACCTTTGACCCAAAGTCACCATCCTACTACTAAATGTGAGTAATCTCCCTGAATTCTTCGTGCTTATATTTTTAAATTCTCTTGTAGTGGTCACAATGATCTTTATAAACACACGCATCTGTCCTTTGGGGAGAGACTGTACTATAAATATCTGCAACAGTCTACTGCTGCTGTTTTTGACCTCTGTTTAACCCTTGTGTACAGCCGAGTGACTTTTTAGCCATGAAATACTCACTTGCTGAAACTAAAGAGGAGCCTTTCAAAGACTAGCACCGGTCCGGTGCTGCTGAGAATAGTCAGGGGCTGACCAGCCAGCAGACAGAACACTGCTCCAGTCAGTGCCGTTCCAAGGAAGCTTTCCAGCACTCCCTACGACACAGTACATGCAGGGGAGGGGGGGGGAAGAATGAAAACTTTACATACAACACTTCTCACAATATTCTGCATCCTTTCTCATTTTATTCCGCATTAATTATTGTGTAATTCCTACTTACTCACACAGGAATAGTGTTTTCCCCATACACAGCTGCAGTTCTGGTCAATCAGGACAGGCCTGTTTAGTTTCCCTTCACGTTGTGTTTTTTTTTTGTTTTTTTCTTAACACTTTATTTTTTTAAAGCAACTTGCACTGGATGAAAAGCTAATAATGACAATGCTGTAGCAGTGAGCATACATGGGGAAAGGTCCAGCGAGGGCAGGGAATCCCTCTGTTGAGTGGGAAGGTGTAGCGACGCAGGAGTATTGAGGACCCACTATTGGTAAGGGAGGGGTGGGTGGAGGAGTCATTAGAAACACAGCCATGACGAGGCTACTGTGGCTGATTAATCTGGATCTGTAGTTATTTACAGCCCGGGCAAATCTCCTGAGGCTGGTGCTCCTCAGGTCTCTGTCACGTGAGAGGCCAAAGAAAGCGGCTTCATCACCATTCAGCCTTTTATACTTCTACACCGTGCTGTGAGAGGCATCGGGGTGGATGCGGTTGGCGCTGTATGCTGACATATCACAATCATACGACGCTTCCTGCTAACAGCAGGTGTGACAGATGGATGCAGAGTGAGCCTCTGAGCTCAACATTACCATGGCTTATCTGCTGCAGTGTGTTGTGTTAGTTTAAAGGTTTAAATCGATGATGACGGTGACAGCAGCAAACACTGTGCAAATAAATTCAGTCTGAAACTCATAAATGGACAGTGTTTGCTTACGGCAGACGGAAATATGTGCCATGAGAGTGAGAGGTAGAAGAATGCAGGAGACAAATCACACACATGTGAGCAGAGAAGAAATTTAGAGTTGGGCAAGGATTTGGGAAATCAAGACAGTTTATCATTGTTTATCAGCTCTTTAACCTTGTCACATTTACACTGTGCATGAGCAACAATAAGGGGCTTTAGGCAGCTGAGAATTTCTTTGAAAATGTTGAAATAATAGACTGCTTCAAAACAGAGGAGTACACCGTGTGACACAATGTATCGGTGTAAACAGACAAGTAGCCACAAACAACAGTGAGGCAATCACATTGGCAGAAAAGCATAAATATAAAGTCAACAAAAAGCAGAAACACCAGCATTCCACAGAGCATCGCCGGAGAGCCACGGCTATGAGAAAGAAAAACACACATAAAAAGGAAATTACACAATGCTGCAATGTTTTTGCTGAGATTGTTTGACTGATGAGACATCGGCAGGGAGCAAACACAAGCTTTTGAATCATCAGAGTCTGACTTTTTTCATGTCACCGATAAAACACAAGCATGTCAAATTGGGCTCTAACAAAAGGTTTTAGCAGTCTTAGAAATGCCAGAGCGGTGTGAATGCTGGGTTTAAACACAAAGGGATGAGGGAGGTATTACCTGCATGTTTTCTGTAGCATCTCCAAGCAGACCTCCAAAGGTGATCGCATTGGTGACTGTGCCCAAATAGATGAACAAGATGGCAGACAGAGACTGGATGTTCAGCGCATCATAGAAGTCGCTGGCGAAAAAGGGCAATTTCCGCTTCACATCCAAGATGAGACCTCCACAAAACCTTCAAGTAGGAGACATTAAAGTTAGCAAGCATAATATAGTTCGCTTCGCGTATTCTTCCTCTGTGTTTTCTCTTTTTTTTCTTTTTTTCTCTACAGTATTTTCACAATTACTTTCCAGTGCGCTGAAGTTCCTCTCCAACTTGGTGTCCTCCACCCCCTCCATGTCCTGTGTCATAGGGAGTGTCGCCATTCATCTGAGGTGCCTCTAATCCGGTGTACATGTTCTTCCTTTAAAAACAGAAAGCAAACAAATAAAAGCCCACAAGCTTTCAGTTAACTCAAGCATGAAGATCACAGGATCGCTGTCATGTTTCTACTATCAAAAACAGAAAATCATGGCAAATAAACCATAAATATACATGCAAGTGCATAATGCATATATAATGCAAGCTGCATACATTTTTATTTACAATAGTCTTTAATCACTTTGTTAATCACATCGGTGAAATAAGAGATTATCTAAGGTTTGAGAGAAGAAGTAAGATTCTCAGTTTCTGAAAAGGTTGACCTGCACTTGGCCTGCAGCTTATGTTGAAACTTTATGTATAACTGTGTAACAAAGGATCCTAGAGATTAATAATAACTGCTGTTGGGTGGCATCTAAATACAGTGACACTCGGTGCATGATGGGATGCACTGAGTGTCCCATGACACTCCAGTGCATTGAGTGCATTTCAGGATTCTCTAAAGCCCACGTTCTCTTGATTTGCTGCTGCTCGCCCAACTTCCACAAAAACAAAAAAACCCACAGTGCTTTTGAGTCCCCTGGCGCTGGAAAGTGCCAGGGGACTCATGGAAAGCCATGCAGACATCAGCACAGCACCAAAGTAGAAAAAAAATCATGTTGGACAAACATTAATACTGCCCAACCCCCCTTTTATTTTTACGTCTGCATAAATACGTCTATGTTCACATAACATTTTGTAGATTTAACAGATTTATGTGCAGCGACATCATTCATTGGGATTAGGTGGATTAGCAGCGGACCTCTTGTCTGAAGAAGGCAGGGACTTTGGTGGCTCTATCCTGATATCAGGGTCCCACTCGCCAGGGGGCAGGACAATGACCTCATCCAGGAACTCCTCGATACCAGCCAGCAGGTCCTGCCTGTCCTTTGCTTTATAAGCAATATCGTGGAATACCTGCCAGCACACAAACATAAGTGGAGCTTTAGTAACCAACAATTCACTGTGTCCCCTAAACTGTAACAAAGTAGCATAACAAAATCGCCATAATATTCTAATTACCATGTACCCAAATAATGAATCAATATCTGTGCGTCTCACGAGCAGCGAAACAGGCATGCAGGATAGTACTACGAGGGGATGACTCAAAAACGGCTGAGAACGGCTCATAAAGTTTTCATGGGAGTAAAGTTTAACTTGAGGAAATCCTGGAAAAACACTTCCTATCTCACCGTGTTTACTCGAGAGATATGTTGGAAAGAGCTGAGGCCTGTGGGAAATTGCCCGCCAGGTGATCTCAGGATTAAGAATGTTATGAGCTATCAGCTAACATTCCTGACAACACTGAGACGTTAAGCCAGGAGTGAAGCTACACAGCAGAGACACAGAGATATTTAAAGGTGGAGCAGGTTAAAAAACCTGTCATTTTTCTTTCCATATGATCTGCTTATGCCAAAATAAACTTGGCTCAAAAAGTTGTAACACAGAGATTAACAATTAACCTCTCAGTTGGACAGGCCATTCACTGAGACATATAATCATACAAGAAAAACAAAGACTTGGCTCCAACCACAATTGGCAACAGGAAGGGTTAACATTCATTTAATGAATGCAACTGGATAGCCCAAAACCATCATCTTAGGTTCACAACCAGTCAGAGGCTAGTTAAGTTAAATCTAATGTGTTAAAACCGTAAAACTAGTAAAAAAAAAAAGGAGTCAGTCAGTCTCCATTGTGGGTCATATTATTACAATCAGTTCAAAATTTAGTCCACAAGAGAAAATAAACCAACAAATACGAAGTTACTTCATACCTCATCGGACATCAGGGTAGCGATGGCTCTTCCTATCTCATGATATGATTTAGCTTTGCCCTTGGGACCCAAAAGGACGAAGAGAAATCTAAACAAAGATGAGAAAATGAGATGTGACAAAGTGAGAATCTCAAAGACTTTGATCAGTGTTTCAAATCTTGCAAGTTGGACCTTGGATTTTACCTTGTGGGCACAGGGACCTCAGTGAGTGCCCCAAGCATGACAGCCTGCTGCAGACGGACAAAAGCCACGAAGGGGGTTTCCAGGAAATCTACCTCTCCGACCAGCACGTTTGAAGCCTCAGCATCGCGGGGCAATTTTTTCATGAACTTATTCTTCAGCTGTAATCATGGAGGGGGGAGGGAGGGGGGGTAGGGTTAGGCTACAGATTTCCTCTTGTAGAAGTGATTGGGGCATTATGTACATGCAAACCTAGTGGTGTGCTTTGTTGGTGTCAGTATAAGTGTGTAGAAACAGGCAGTACCTGCCCTTCCTTCAATTATGTGCTGAACAGCAGTTTGGTTTTATGCCGTCCAATAAGCATACTTTACTACAGGGTACATCCTCAGTCTGGATTCATAGAGATCTAAACTGAGCCTGTAAAAACTTACGTCTACTAAGGGAGATGATTAACAAAGCCCTTGTTAAAATCTTAAAGAAAAACACACCATTTTGACCAATGTACAGTTTTATAAACAGTTGCTTGAGGGTGATTTCAGTTACTGTTTAACTACTTCCATGATTGCAGAAAAACTCAGACAATACAGCCCATTTACAGTTGTCATGAGTCACGGCGGCGAAAGAAACTACAGTGGATGACAGAAACTCACGCAACAAAGACAGTAAGCTGTTGTTACTCAGACCAGAGAGAAGAATGGAAGGTGTCTTATTTATTAGCATCTGGGGCTCACATGTGTTATGCCCTCCACCTTGCAGTGCCAGTGCGAGAGAATCTGGGCGCTGCCATGGCTAACTGCCAATTGTCTACACCTGACAAAGTGTGGATAAACACTAATAAAGCTAATGTTTCTACATACTCTGGGGTCAGTCTCCAGTCTACGTTGCAGCATGCTGAAGCACTCATACAGCCCAGTAGATGCCCTTTCTAAGTGCTGCTTTGTGAACATTGACAGCAGTGGCGCAAAATCAATATGACTCTATGCAAATAACACATCGAAACGCATTACCTGATCTTTCTCTGGCTTATCAGAGAAGTCACTCAGGCTGTTGGAGGTGAGGTTTCGGTGGGTTGTAGTTGGACTACCTGCAGAGAGGGGAGATTCTGTTAGGATCAAAGAGGACAACGGGCAAGAACGCAGAACTTTAAAAAAAAAAAAGAACGATATTTTTGGCTGAGAAAGAGACGGAAAAGAGACGGAAACCTGAGAAATAAGCTAAATGTGTCAGGGCTTAAGACTTAGGACAAATGTCAGACAGTCAGAGACAAGAGAGCATGATAGATGACTGGTTTAGGTCTGCTGTTTATACACGTAAATAGTTGTTTGAGCAACGGCTGGCAGACAACTGAGAATCTAAACTCTGGAACTCAGTTAGAAATTCTGCTACTGACAATGGTGGAGAACATTAGTCTATCACTATTTGATTTACAGCAAAATGAATATTTAGCTTTTTTCCCACCACATACGTTTCCAGGCTGATTTCATGAATAAACACATTAAGCCTTTTTTTTTTTTTTTTTAAAAACACAGTTGACTTAATGAAACTTCAACACTATTGCATTCTTTTCCTCTCTAATTCACAATTGTCTATCTCCATTCACACAAGTCTTCCATGGGACTACATTCCAACAATGCTGCTTTCAGCTGGAGGGCTATGACCTCACTTACAGAGGTATCCCATGCTGGAGCTCCTCATGACCTCACATGGTTCCTCTGAGTCTTGTGGGTTTAAACAAGGCACAGGGTGCTCGAGGGGGTTGCGGGCTATTGCACCCCAGATGCAGGAAGTCAGAAAGTACAGACCCACGTGGGAGGAAAGAAAAAAAGAGAGGAAAAGAAGTACAGTAAGATAGGAGGAAGGAGAAACAGAAAGGGAAAATGGACAGGTTTGTGTTAGAAAAAGAAAAGCCTACAACAGTAGTTAGAGTTAAAAATGAACGGAAAAATGAGGAGAAGGTGTTTGAGTTGATAAGGAGAAATAAGAGTTTCTGCATTACCATTCTCCTGGCTAGAAAATAGCCTGCTTGCACTGGAAACAGTCTTGCCAATATCTGCAAGAGAGCGCAAGTTGGACTTCTTGGTCTGGTGCCGATGCTTCCTCAGCAAGGTGTATGTGACCTTCTCCTTCAGGTCTGCCTTCAACTGACCACTCTCAATCTGGCTGTCAGTGATCATTTCTGTTAGATGGGACAGATTGAAAATCAAGCTTAAGTAGCAGTTGGGCTTTTCTAAACCTTTAGGAGCACTTTCGATCTAGTCAACCTCACGCACCGACAATCTGTGGCAGCGAGTTGGCCTCCAGATCCAGCACGATCGTGCCCTTCTCGATAAAGGTTTTCAGCTCCATCAAACTATGCAAGGACAGCGTGGCCACATGAGGTTTGCTCCAGCGTTCACCTCCCTTCTCCACCTTCTCCTCAAACTTGATCCACCTGGTCAGAGTGGGAGAAAATAAAGAAGAGGCAAAATATGCGTGAACCATACCAGAATTGGACAAGTGATTGTGCTCAGATGCAGAAGAATGTACGATCCATCATCTTTTTTCATCTTCAACCTGAAGGTTGAGGTCAAAATCAAAGGTAACGGAGGTTTAAAAATAAACAAAGGCGGCAAACAAATGGCGACAATATGGATTCTGTCCTCTTTACAAAACAGCAGTGCAATGTTTTGAAGTGGTCACAGTTCATAATGCATAAATGTGGGATGCAGAAACGCGTAGAAATAAAAAATAAATCACTAGACTTTAGAAAGCATACTATTCACTGGAATGGTGACAGCCTTCTCTGGAACCTTTAGACCACACATTGCTCGGAAACGGCGTTCAAACAAGATCCCATTTTAACGGTTCAACTTTGTTGCCACGGATAAGCTCAGCCTCGAAGGTAAGGCTCAGGACAAGGACTCTTTTTAATAATAATGCCTCAGATGTCACTACTACAAAGAACCATTCTCATGAGGCCTGGGGATGGAGTTTCCACTGGGGATAGAGTATCTCTCTGGTTGGCTGCGGTCCACGTGTCTGTGACGGGCCGTCTTGCTGTGGGAAGAGTTTGGCCACGGAGACAATGCGAGTCCTAAGGCATTCACTTACATGTCCTTCCGTGTAATCCCATCGCTCTTTTTACAAAATGAGACAAAGAATCAGAAAAACACAACAGCTCCTTATTGTTGTTTCGATGCTTCTAAAAGAACGCTCCATAGACAAAGCTTGACACAACACTTGTCTGTGCAAAAACTGACAAAAGGTGCTGAGATTTTTGAATTCACTGAATTCCTTTACTTGGTTACGTCGGACAAAGGAATAGCAAGTAACGGAAACGTAATGCTAAAGTAACAAGGTAGTCCTCAGCATGAAGCTTCATTTTACTTGAGGGGTCAGAGTAGGTGACATTAATCGTTACTTTAGGATTACCTCAAACACTAAGTAACGGATCAGCCTTACATTTGATTTAATTGCTGCTCAGTGATCAGATTTAGTCAGAAAAAAGTTGAAGCGTTCATGATGTTGTATACCTGCTGGTTTGTTAGCTTAATAATGATAATAATAACAGCAACCATTGTGTATTATAAAGTACTACCTCCTAATCCATGACAAAAGCCAACCACTGTAAGTTATACCAAGTTATACCAAGGTAACACGTCCCCCCCATGTAATCAGTACCACTGCAGTGAACAGGGTAAGTAGGTCAAATCAGAGAAGGTCAGGTTAAAGATAAAATTTACTGATAGTCTTCCAGGAACATTTGAAAACAATAATTCTATGTGAAAGTCGCACAATGTTAGCTTGACTAGCTGGAATAACTGATGATTTATTGTAATACTGAACACGCCACAGGTGAATTAAAAGAAATCCATTAACAAGTGTAGTGGTTCCACTTATACATGCCAAAAGTTCACATGTCCCTGTATACTTGAGGCCTGTTTTGATCATGTGGGAGTTGCTGCCTTTTCCGGGTCTCACAGAGCAGGTACTATAGATCTCAATCAGATAAGAGTAGACTGGGAGTTCACTAGGGCACTGCCTATTTCCCTACACACACAAAACATGATTATTTATAAGGGATTGTGTTCCAGTCACGAGATGGTGAGCCACTTCCCATGGCTCTTAAAGTGAAATGGGGGGGATAAGCTGTAAGCACATTTAGCAGCTCACCTGGCAGTTTCCTTCCACTCCATCTCCTGCCCGTCCACTTCCAGAAGCTCATCCAGCTCTGTGAAGAGCTGGGGAGGTGGTGGGCCATCATCCTCCTCTCCCAGGATAAACCGGATTCTCTCAGCAGGAGAAACTGCAAGCAGAAAGAATTGAGTTAGTGGACAAACAAATCAGCAGTGTAGTTGCTGTCATTGTGTGAAGCTACACAGATGCCTGCTGTGCAGAACTTAAGGTTTCCTGTATAGGAAAGAAATTGCAGCTGCATAATCATGCACAGAATAGAAAGCTCAAACAGCTGACTGGTCTGACAATCTGGCATGCATCTGTCTGACATCAAAACAGTATTTTCTGTAAGCGTGAGACCACAGTATATCTTGCATAGCAGACTTGCTTAAACTGCAACTGCTCGAATATCATCTCTCACTGTTAGAGAAACATCAGAGGTTTTAATTACTATTCAAAACAGTTGCAGCCTGGTTGGGATGTTACATAGTATGTTTTTTAGCATTTCAGGTAGCTTTAAATATTTTGTGGGGGGCAGTTTGCGCTGCGAATAAGGTGAAAGCACATGACCCTGTAAAAAGAACAGTGTTATCTTAGCTGGAAGGAAACAGCCTGACAACACATCCGCTTGAGGAAAAGATTTTCAGTAAAACACATTTTGCTTCCTTCTGAGAAAGTTTACCAAGATTTTTTTTTTTTTAAATCAGCACACTCATGCATTGATAACCTCCACTGACTGTTTTTCTTCTACTTCTATTACTTCAATCAGAAACACGAAGACCATTAAGGAATATGACATCAAGGAAGGTGATGTGACCTCCACAGTAAGACAGCCTAGGCATATAGATTTCTCTTTTTATTATTCATAATAAATTATGTAACCAGTGTTTATTTATGCAAGTTATGATCTTGTTCTTATAACCAAAAATAAAACAGCAATCTCCGGGTTTAACAAGAATCTTGACAAAATGAAATGTGAGAACTGCATGTTCTTGTTAACTCTTCTGCGAAAGTTGTGCAATGATGAAGTAAGGCAACGAAGTGGAGGTCAAGAGCAAGACACAAGAGGCTATTTATGAAGGTGCCTTAATTTACTGTACCAGTCAGGATTCTGCAGGTTGATAGCTTAAGAACGTAACGGCGCCTGTAACCTTTTAATCCTGAAACAGCGCACCAAAGCTTAATTTAGATTGTTTGTTTTTAAAATAGTACAGCTGGAACTGTTCTAATATAGACAGCGCATCTAATAATAGGTCATGTGAAGGTTAAGACCAATGACTCAAAGGGGCATGAAACACCTTTAGGATGCATGAACCTTCAGCAAGGATGCGAAACCAAAACATAGGAGATCCTCACACCCACAGCACCTTTCTGCTGTCCTTTTGCAAATATGACTTACTGACACCATACGGTGTACAAAACACTCTTCGCCTCTTACGTTTCACAGCTGGTGTTACCAATGAAAACCAGGCCTTTGTTGTGGTTACACACAACTTTTGAGTGGTCTGCTCTACAGTTTTTGTCAGAATCAACAGGATTATGTGGATTTAGATCGGTCAAAGCAGTGGAAAATCTTACAAGTGTAGGGCTACATATATCTGTCAGTATGTGCACTTTCAACTGGGGCTTTAGTTGTCTGGGACAATCTTGTTACACTGTATGCTCATGTTCTGTGACAGCGCAACCCCCATAGCCAAAGCACTGCTTGACATTTGCACACGTCAGTTGAAAACTCCTAACAGGGAGAGTAAAGCATGTCAGGTAGAGGCAACATGCACACCTTCATTTAATAGGGTAACAAAAAAAGATATAAAAGGTGGTTCACTCAAGAGGGAAAAAAAATGTTTATGCCAAGAGTAGCTCATCACGCAGTAGAGTCTGCCCTCTTATTCAACCATAAAACACTGTTTACAGTTAAGATCTTTTAGAGAGATACAGTAGTATGGGAACGTGGGAGTTTGTTTATGTGTGTGTGTTGTGTGTGAGCTAGAACGGACATTTAAATATGGATGACAGATTCAGTTTGAGCTTCTGTGTTAGGTCTGCTCTCCCGCTGCCCACTGATTTTCCAGTCTGTAATCAACTCTGTGGAACCCC